TCTTCCAACCATTACTGGAAAGAGGCCTCCTCCATTACTACCCTCTTGTCTTCTGTGCCTCATGCACTACAGGGGGGCCTGGCCCAAATCAGGGACAGAAAACAGGCCAAGGGAAATCCAGCAATCGTTGTTTGTTTGCAATAGTATTTTTTGAACACTTTCCATATACTTTTCAAATTAATGTGGGGTTAAAAGTATGCTGTACTCTTTACAAATATCTGGCCACTTGTTCAAGCATTTTATAGGGTAGAGTCCCAGAAGAGCAGTTGCTCTAACTTGTGTTTACATGCTTTCTATAGGATTCCGTTTTCTCTCCTTTTGTTGACTTATTATGGGTCACTCTCTCCTTTGTTATTTCAGCGGCTGCTTTAGGCTCTAGAGCACACATCTGTAACTTACCACAGCCTGCCTTCAAGTGGTAGAGTACCTCTACCCATTTCCCTCCTGCCTGCCCTCATGCTGTGGTCATCATGCATTGCACTTGACATATGCTATAAGCCCCGAAATCCACCATTATTACTGTTGTTGTGTCTATCCCACATTTTTAAAGGGATGTCAATGATAAGACATCTTACATCTTATATGTTTTCCCGGGCAGGTACCATTTCTGTCGTCCTTCATCCCTTCCTGGTCACTCAGATTTCTATCTGGTATCAGTGTCTGTCTTTCTGGAAGCACTTTGCTTGTGGTGTGGGTTTGCTGGTGGTGAAGTCTTTCAGCATTTATGTTTCTGTAAATGTCATCATTCACCTTCATTTTTGAAAGACTTCTGGGGGAGGCTACTTTGACCTGCCGCGCCCCCTCTACCGCCTCAGTCCTTTAAAACTGCTGCTCCACCATCTTCTCACTTGCACTGTTTCTGATGAGAAATCTGACATACTTTTTAGCTTTGGAGACTTTTGCTTTTTCAAAGGATTTGAGCAATTTAATTATGTGACTAGATGTGGTTTTCTTTCTGTTTCTCGTGCTCGTTCATTGTGTTCATTTGGCTCCTTGGATTGGTGGGTTTATAATTTTTATCATGATGGGAAAGTTTTCTGTCATTGTTTTTTCAAAATTGTCTCTTCACCCCCAGTCTTTTCAGGGAATCCATTACTCATTTATTAGGGCTTTTAAAGTTGCCCCATCACTCACTGACTTAAATTTACAAGTCAGTTATGGTTCGGTTTCAATACACTGATTATTCTCCTCATTGTGGGTCATGCGTTCCTGCCTCTGTGCACGCCTGGCATTCTTTCATTGGATGCCAGGCATTGTCATGATTTACCTTCTTGGGAACTGGCTCTTGACTTGGCTCACAGCAGTGTGGACACTGCCCCTCCAGGCCTGTGACCCGCGCCATGGGGGCCCTTTTCATGGTGCCAGCGGTCAGTGCTCTGGGCTCTTGACCAATGACCGGGTGCCTCAAATGGACCTAGGAACCATGGAACTGTTCTCCCTGCCCTCCCTCCCCTCTGTTCCGTTGCACCTGACCTGTGCGCTCTTTCCACGCAAGCCCATTGGTCTCAGAGCTTCTCTGGTGTCCTCTTGGCAAAGGGGATCTCTTTGTTATTCTCTGGCCAAAATGGGCCCCTTTGGTTCCTGCCTGGGCTGCTCTAGAGCCATGGACAGAGTCCTGTGACCATGACCAGCTAACAGGTCCAGTAAAATCCAGGCCAGAAAATGGAGGGATGGAAAGCAAGCACAAGAAATCATTTTAAATGGTACAGAGTGAGTCTGAGACTCGAGTGGTGGCCCTGGAGTATCTCTTTGGCTCTGCTGCCAGAGCTGAATAGGCCAGGGGTGACACTTCGTGAGACCACAGCCATCTTCATAGATGCCATTAAGAATTTGAAAAACGGTGAAGACACATACCCTAGAAAAATAGATTTTTCAAGTTGTTTTTTTTCTCTCAATCCCAGGACTGCGTGTGTCTGTGGTTACATGTGATATTGATTGGACTGTATTTGAGCACCACCATTTTCCAAATGTTTGGCAGCTCCCGTAGTTAAAAATATACCTACCCTGTCACCTGGTAATATCCCTTCTATTTTCTTCCCAAGAAAAATGAATGCATATATCCAAAAAGGGTTCTTAAAAAAAACGTTCAGAGCAATGTGATGTGTACCAGGGAAAAACTGGATAAAACCCACATGTCCATCAACAGAGAAGTGATATACAAACCGTTGTATAGTCACATAATGGATTAATACTCCCTGGAAAAACAACCACCTGTCTTTCTCCTCCTTCTTCTCTTCTCCTGCTCCTCCCGATGCTTCTTTTCCTCCCCTCCTCCTCCTTTCTGTTCCTCTTCCTCTTCTTCATTTTTTTTCCTGTCCGGGTCCATGCGATTACTTAGTGGTTCTGTTTTCTCTGACTCTTAGCAGCTGCCCTCTTCCCCAGCTTCTCAGTCTCTTGTTTCTTACCAAGAACTAACAATAGCCCTGAGGGGAAAGGGCAGAGACTTAGTGTCATTCCAATGAGCTTCTCACGACATCAGCCTTCAAAAGTTTTACATATAATGGTGGTTGATGCCAAGCACGAAAGCAAATAAAAATAATATAATGCAGAATTACATGAGAACCAAAATAGAAGTATAAATACAAAATGATAAAATGAAAATTGTCCCCTTACTACCTTTGAAAGGCAAAAAAAAAAAAAACACACACACACACACACAAAAAAAACCACCACCAACAAAAAACGTTGGGAGAGATTTCTGATCCATTATTTAACTTAAAAATAATGAGCTTAATCAAAGCAATTCTCAGACTCTGGTGTCTGAGTTCCCCATAGTAGGAAGGTCTATCCTAGAATCAAGGACTACTGGTCCCTGACTATTTCTTCTCAGATGTTGCCTGACTTTCTTCTGTCCTCTAGTGGGCATCTGTAGAATTATTTCAATTGTCCCAAATCCTGCATTTCAGGATTAAGAACATGAAAAACATTCTGTAGACAAAAGAATCACAGGGAAAACAATTTCATGTTCTCTGAAAATATCATAAAAGTACATTTCATTACAAATTGGCTTATAAATTTATCCTGGGTTCTATGTTGGTTTGACCAGCTAGTTGTCTTGTTAAATTGGAGGGATAAAATGATCATGAGGTAAAAGGGATTTAAAAAAAGGAAGCGCCCTAGCCAGTTTGGCTCAGTGGACGGAGCGTAGGCCTGTGGACTGAAGGGTCCCAGGTTCAATTCTGGTCGGGGGCACGTGCCAGGGTTGCCGGCTTGGTCCCCAGTGAGTGGCTTGCGGGAGGCAGCCAATCAGTGATTTTCTCTCATCATTGATGTTTCTATCTCTCTCTCCCTCTCCTTTCCTCTCTGAAATCAGTAAAAATATATTTTTAAAGAAGAAGAAGCAGCCCTAGCCGGTTTGGCTCAGTGGACAGAGCATTGGCCTGTGGACTGAAAGGTACTGGGTTCAATTCTGGTCAAGGGCACATGCCCTAGTTGCAGGCTTGATCCCCAGGAGGGGGTGTGCAGGAGGCAGCCAATCAATGATTCTTTCTCATCATTGATGTTTCTATCTCCCTCTCTCTCTCTCTCTGAAATCTATAAAAATATTTTTTTTAAAGAAGCAAACAGTATTGGGGACTTGCTGTGTATCAGGGACTGTGTTAAATGTTCAACATGTTTTATTTCATTTAATCCTCACAAGAAACTGTCTGTATCATCACAGATAAAAGCCTGGATTAGAAGTGAGATCCACCTGGGACAGAATCCAGGTCTTGCTACTTATTAGCTGTGTGATCTTTGAAAATAACCTTACTTTTCTCACTCCCAGTTTCCTCAACTTTCAAAGAAATGGTAAAAATTACTCTCAACAGTGCCGTGAGGGTCAGCAGAATCATGGAAGGAAAATGACTAGAAAAGGTCCTGTAACACGGTGGTCCTCATAAATGAACTAAGTATTCATCAGTAATAAAAAGGGAGTAGATTTTGTTTTGGGGGGATCACAGCTATTTTTTAGGAGTGTTTATATTTAACTTTTACAATGATCATTTTTTCAGAATATATATATATGTTCTGAATATATATATATATATATATATATATATATATATATATATGACTTCAGAGAGGAAGGGAGAGGGAGAGAGAGTTAGAAACATCAATGAGAGAGAATCATTGATTGGCTGCTTCCCGCAAGCCACCCACTGGGGATTGAGCTCACAATCCAGGCATGTACCCTTGACTGGAACCGAACCCAGGACCCTTCAGTCTGCAGGCTGACACTCTATCCATTGAGCCAAACCAGCTAGGGCTCAGCTTATTTTTTTTTTTATCCCTTTTTACTCATGATCATTTTAACCCTCCAATTTAATGAGGCCACCAGCTGGTCAAACCAACATAGAACCTGGCCAGCCAAATGTAAACTGTCATTTAAAATAAAATTTAGCCAGGCCAGTGTGGCTCAATGGTTGACCATCAACCCATGAACCAGGAAGTCACTGTTTGATTCCCAGTCAGGTTATATGCCTGGGTTTTGGGCTTGATCCCCAGTAGGGGGCAAGCAGGAGGCAGCTAATCAGATGATTCTCTCTCATCATTGATGTTTTTATCTCTCTCTCCCTCTCCCTTCCTCTCTGAAATCAATAAAAATACATATTTTTTTAAAAAGAAAAGAAAGAGATCAGTGATTGACAGGGATCGAGTAGGGAGGATGAGGAGTAACAGGTCCTGGGTTTGTCCTGGATGAGAATGTTCTGGAACTGGAGAGTGATTGTGATGTGATGTGATGGTCATAAGGAATTGTGAATGTACTTAATGCTGCTGAAATTACATTTTGAAGGATCATAGACTTAAATTATATTTAAAATTAAAGTTCATTTTTATTAATATATTATTAGATTTTATTTAAAATACATCTTATTTTAACTGAATATTACACAAAACTACAGTGAAAGTTTGAACATATGTATGATAAACATAAATATTTAAAAATTGCATCTCTAGGGGGAGCCCCCTCTGTCATGGCAGCTACACACGCTGCGGCCCAGGACCGGGGACCACGGGCCTCACAGGAGCTGAAGGGAGTTGCCCACACGCTGCAGGTGCTTCTTCTGCCTCGTGAAGGTCAGTGAAAGCTGCGCCCGGGGCCCACTCTGGCTCTGGAGAGGCCACTGGAGTCAGCGTTGCCTCTTGAGGTCTTTTTTTATCTGGCTCTGGAGCTGGTTCTGTAGATCCCAGAAGAGAACATGTTACCACCATGACTGCCTCGATGTGCCTTGCAAAGACAGAACATCTCTCCTGTCCATCGATGGAGTCCCAGTGCCAGAGCCCACCCCAGGAAGTCTTCCCAGACTGCAGGCCATGGGGGCAGTGATCTGAGCCGGCTCTGCCCCTGGCCTCTAAAAGCTCTTCTCGGTGTGGCGAGCCCCATCTCCTCCCCACTCGCCCACATCGCCTCCCCGCGTCCTCCTCACCCTCAGCCTCCGCCTCTGTGGGCTCGCAGCGCTCCAGCTCCGAAAGGAGCAGCTGGGCCTGGCGCTCCAGGTCTGAGCCTGGGAAATTGAGCTCCAGGTAGGCCAGCAGCACCACCAGGCCTGGGAAGTCTGGGGGCTGGAAAAAATCCTGAGGGCACTGGTCCAGCCACATGCCCAGGATGGAGATGATGGCCCTGGGGAGAGACGTGGGCAGCAGAGTCTGAGGCCTGGCCTTTCCTTCCACACTAACCTCCCCGGTGTCCCTGTGGGAGCTGGGGGTCCTGTGCCTCCTGCTCCTGTCCATCTAGAAGCCAGACCTACTCCTTCCCACCTTCAGTCTGGCAGTCCTGGCAGAGGTCTACCTGGCCAGGAAGGAGGGGCTGCCCAAGGCCTTCATAACTGAGATATATATATATATATATATATATATATATATATATATATATATATATGATATATTATATTATATATATTAAATATATATTTATTTATTTATCAGGTTTTTTTATTTTAGAAAAGTAATCAATGTTCACTGTAGATATTTTAGAATGTGGAAAATTATAAAGGAGAAAGTTGCAATCACCCACAATATCACTCCCCAGAAATAATCATTGTTAATATTTACATGTATTTTCCTCTAGTCTCTATTTTTTTCTGACAAAATATGGATAATTATGTATATTCCTTTCCATAAACTGACAATAACCTGAGACTCAATATAGTGCGGATGCTTTCTTGAGTAATTAAGTAGACTTCTTTTTTTAAATTTATTTATTTTTTTTTTTTAAATATATTTTATTGATTTTTTACAGAGAGGAAGGGAGAGAGATAGAGAGTTAGAAACATCGATGAGAGAGAAACATCGACCAGCTGCCTCCTGCACATCTCCCACTGGAGATGTGCCCGCAACCCAGGTACATGCCCTTGACCGGAATCGAACCTGGGACCTTTCAGTCCGCAGGCCGACGCTCTATCCACTGAGCCAAACCGGTTTCGGCTAAATTTATTTTTCAATTACGGGTGACATCCAACATTATTTCTGAGGGGCTGACTCTGTCCACTAACCTCCCAATGCTCTCCCACCACCCAATCCACATCCAAAGCTCTCTATGACTCCTTCCCTTTTTTCTAGGTAAAGTCCTCAGACCTGGGCCCTCTTGCAGAAATCCCACAATGTGTGGGATGCAGGGTTCTGCCAGCACCTCCGATTCTCAGTCCCACGGTTCTGATCCAAAGTCCACTCACTTTTTCTGCTGGTCCACAGGCCCACCATCCTCTTCAGCATACGGGAAGATGCAGCCATACCTAGAGGAGGCCAGGAGGACGTCACATCGACTGCCCTGTGGACACCACCTGCCTGTGAAGTCTAGTGTGACTGTCTCACTCCCGACTACAAGGAAGCTCTGGAAAGCAGGGCTGGGGTCTGCTCTGTGCACTGGGTTATGGTCAGTGCCTAGAACATGCCTGCACCTGCTGATATATTTGCTGAATGAACGAGCCCCATCACAGGTATCTCAGTTAGCCCGCTGCTCACCCCTGGGATTCCTGCTCTGGCTTCACCCAGGACAGAGAACCCTAATGAAATCTCCAATCTCCTTTTCAAATGAGAAAACACCTCAGCCCAAGGCCCCGAGGAAAGTGAGGGATGAGGCAGAGGCTTCATCATGAGGAAGAGAAAATGACCAATTAGTACAACCACCGCCCTTCCCGCAGACTTCTCCAATGGCCAGGCACCCAGAGAGCACATTACAGGGAGGACCCCACCAGGTTTCTATAAAAATCCTATGAGTTTGCTCCTGGGTTCACCCCGCTGTTCAGAGGAGCACACAGACTCAGGGAGATGCAGTGACCTTCTGAAGACTCACAGCTAGCAAGTGCCCGGATGACCACTGTGCTGTGGAGGGGCAGGTGCTCACCTTGTCAACAGTAGGTCCAACACCTGTCGGGTGGTGGCGAAAGTTCTGTAGTTCCGGAGAAAGGTGGGGACGAAGGTGGGGTCCCTGCCCAGGAAGGCAGGCACCAGGTGCTCCACCAGCTTGTCCAGCCAGTGTGCCCGGGCGGTCTGCACCATACAGAGCTTATTTGTGTTCCCGGTTGATGCAGTTTGCCCCTGGGGTGGGACAGAGGAGGGACACGCAGTCAAAACAGCATCATGGACCACCAGGTGGGTTGGCAGCTGCAGCTCAGACCTAACCCACAAGCCCTCAGTGACTGGTGGCAAGGGGGGACATGAGTGCTCGCAGGAGAGAAAAGGTTCTTGGCATGAAAAGTAGAACTGGAGGAAGGGAATGATGAAACACATTAGTAACCTAGGTCATATTTTGCTAACTGAGGACGGACAGCACGTCCCTGTGTTCACAGTGTCATCCCTGGGATTTCTGACAGAGCATCCCATGCTAAGATGAGAACACAGAGGCTTTTCATGGGGTGGGAGGGGTCAGGATATTAGGACAGGTGAGATGTTCAGGGCAGCACCGTTGACATGGCAACAGAAGGGGATCAGTCCAGGCCCCACAGCAGTGAAGGGCTGGATCACCATGGTAACCGGTCCCCTCAGGGTATGACATACAGCCTTGGGAGACCCCAGCTCCTGACCTGGAGGAACCACAGGGATGCATTCCTCCGGGACAGAAAATGCAAAGCAACAGATATGGTACCATGAGCCCGGTGTCTTTTTTGGGGACAAGCATCCCCCAAGCATGATGATGAGTAAAACTGGGAGAAGGAGTGTAAGGATTGTCAGGCCAACATGGACACCTGGGGATGGGTGTTAAACAAGAAAATCTGTAGAAAAATGCAAAAATACTCTTGACTGAACGTGAGGTGAAATGATACAAAAGCCTCCTTCCTGATATTCCTACAAATATGCAGACAGTGACTTTGCTCCTGGCAGGAAGGGGCTGGACAGTGAGGGTGGGTTGGGGGAGAAGATGGAAACCCAGGTCCCTTTGGGAGCAGGACTCTAGGAAGGGGCTCCAGGGAGTAGCAGGGTGGCTTCTGGAACCAGGGCCCCTTTGACTCCTGGGGTCCTGGAGGTCGGGCCACCTGGGCCTCTGCACTCACCTTGAGACCGAGCGGCACTCTTTGGGCAGCGTGGGGCCCCTGCGCCTCCTGCTGGGGGATGGCGTTGAGAACCTCATCAGTCGGCTCCTGTCTGACCTTCTGTCTGACCTCCTGTGGGGAGCTCTGTAGAGACAGTGCCCAGCCGCCAGGCGGAAAGCCTCAGAGCCCAGTCTGTGCTTTGCAAACCCCGTGGTTCTTTCCACTCCACACACATACACCACATTTTACTCAGACCTCCACGAAGGACAGAAAAGACGTGACAGCCTGAGGGCCTAGGATTGTCATTGGCACAGAGGAAAGGCCCCTTGGAAAGCCCCTCTCTGTGCTGGCTGTGGTCATGACAGCATCACTAGGATATGCCCCGCCCTGCAACCTGCCCAGGGGTCCTCCCTTCAGGTTCCCCTTCCCCCACATGGAGAGGAGGGGATAGGGGCTGCCCAGGGATGGCTCCCAGAGGTGGCCGGGCCTGAACTGGGCTGCCTGAGGCTGCCTGTGTTACCTGAGGGGATCTCCTGGAGAACGGCCACAGACGCCGGGGATGAGGGTTGAACCAACGTCTCCAGAATTTAGAAAAACTCCCACTGTGGGGTCTCCGGGAGCAAGAGCCCCGATAACTAGAGATCCAGCAAGAGGACATCTTCAACTCTCAGTGTCTCTTGCCAAGTGAACTGGCGGTTGGGCTGTTGCTAGAATGTGGCTGCCTGGTTACGGGGGGTTCTAAGTTCTTTAGGGACTGACCTCACTTCCTGTGATCCCCTTCCCTGAGTCCCCTTCTTCTCGATCCTGGATGAGCCATTGTGACTGTCAGGGCCTGTCTGTCTTCTGCCTGCACAATAATATTATTCCAGCATGTACTTAGAAATAATGTTCAGGCACATGTGGAAAGATATGTATAAAGTTGGAGGAGTGCTGTCATGTATAGGAAGTGCCTCCAATCTGTATTTTCTTTCTGTTGTCACCTCCTCTGTGTATGCTCCTCTTAGTATCCCTCCCATAGTCGATACATCGAGAGAGAGAGAGAGAGAGAATGAATGTGTGTGTGTGTGTGTGCATGTGCACGCCAATACTCATTTACTGGATCCCAGAAAAATACAGCTCCCACATAGGCAGAAATAGGCAAGAGCTTCCCAATATGTTAGGATTTCTAATTTCCAAACCAACCTTATGGGAGAGATTAAAACCCTTGCCTAGGAGTTCAGAACACTCCTGACCTCTGGACTGTGCCTGTTATGTACCCTGGCTAGTCCCTGGATCTCTATGGGCCTCAGTTTCCCAAGTATCCAGTGAGGGTGAGATTCAGAATTGTGTAAGTTCAGCATAAAAGGGGCCGAGACTCCTCCACCCTGGGTAGCTATGGAGAGGAGTGCACCCCAGTGTTCCCTGACCAGGCCTCTCCTCAGACAAGGACTGTCTGAGAACCCAAGGCTGGATTCAGGAGCTCAATACTCACTCTCCGAACTACCGAACTTGGGATGAGGCCGATGTTTTTCTAGTGTGAAATGACAGGGCAATGACTTCTACTGGAAGGCACCCCCAAAACACTGACTCTGACAGAATTCATTCTGGTCTAACGGCAAGCCTGGGAAGAGGTCTCCCTCCATCTGGTGTGGGCTTTTATTGTTGAAAGATCCAAGAACCCCATAACACATATGCCATGTCTTACCTCGCCAACAGAGGGCAGTGCATGGCTGCTCGTGCCTACACTATTGACCTTTTAAATTTAACAAGTTTGCTTTCTTCAAAAGAAGACCCATACATATGCTGTTTACAAAAGACCCACTTCAGATCAAAAGGCACACACAGACTCAAGGTTAAGATGGAAAAAGAGCCCAGTCGGCGTGGTTCAGTGGTGGAGCGTTGACCTGTGGATTGGGAGTTCACAGTTTGATTCCCAGTCAGGGCATATGCCCGGGTTGTGGGCTCAGTCCCCAGTGTAGGGCATGCAGAAGGCAGCCAATCGGTGATTCTCTCTCATCATTAATATTTCTCTCTCTCTTCCTCTCTAAAATCAAAATATGTTTTTTAAAAAGGGATATAACTCCTATAAACATTTATGCACCCACCACAGGAGCACCTAAATATATAAAGCAAATATTGATGGGCATAAAGGGTGGGATCAACAGTAATACCATCATAGCAGGGGACTTTAACAACCCAATGACAACAATGGATAGATCTTCCAGACAGAAAATTAAAAGGAAACAGTGGCCTTAAATGACACATTAGACAAGATGGGTTTAATTTGTATTTTCAGAACATTTCACCCCAAAGCAGCACAATATATATGCTTTTCAAGTGCATGTGAAACGTTTTCCAGGATAGACCACATGTTAGGCCACAAAACAAGTCTCAATAAATTTAAGAAGATTGAAAGCATATCAAGAATCTTTTCTGACCACAACAGTATGAAACTAGAAACCCACTACCAAAAAAAAAAAAATTGAAAAACACAAATACACAGAGGCTAAATAATTGAAAAAATAATTTTTTTTAATGGAAGTCTTTTCTAAGGAAGGAGGTGGGTCAAAGACATCATTAGAAAAGAAAAGTGCAAATTCATTGGAGGAAAGTAAGAGTTCAGGGTGACAATGGCTGTTCATTGGCTGAACAACACTTTTTCCCTTGGCTGGGCTTGTTGCTGGGCAAGAAGAAAATCTTCCTTCCCCTTAGGCGGGAGTGAAGTAGAGGCACTTCCTGTTAGAGGTGCAAGGTCGTCTCTTCTTGTTCAGGGCATGAGAGCCCCCTCTAGAGACATTCCGGTCTCCAATTGTAATTGAAATTTCCTTTACTAGTTTTCACAGTTCATGGCTTCCATGTGTAATCACGGCCTAAAAAGCCTGAGAGGGTTAAGAACCCATGACCCATTCCGTACACAGTTCTCTGAGTGGAGAGTTGGGGTGGGCGTCTAGCATGGCCCTTGGGGAGTCAGCCACAATTCCAGTGTTCCCCAGCGCAGAACTACCGGCTGCAAATGCAGTGGCCACTCTTTGTACGGAAATAAAGTACACACCGGGAACCAAGGAACACTAGAGCATTTTGGCTTGCAATTCAGCTCATTTAGTACAGCTGCTGAGGTTTCCAGGCCTCCATCCACGAAGACAGTGAGCCTGCTGGCAGGTTTGTTGTGAGTGGCTGTAGACCTATGGGGGCTGGAGGGAGAAATAAATGGTTCGATTTATTTTTTATCAAAAGGGGGTTATGTGAGCTTACAGTGAATTTCCATCACTACTACCCATAATTTTCCAGTTATTTATCATCCATTGGTTCTTTTCTTCCAGTAGCTCTGACGAACGGAGGCAAAACTGAAACACGGAAGGAGAGAGCAAAAGAAAAGGAAGCTACAGCGGGGGGGGTGGGGCAAGCGCCCGGACTTTTGTCCTGCGGTCCCTTTAAGAGAAGAACCTCTTGGGACCTGCAGTCCCAACCGACCCCAGTTTTAACCGAAACCTAACCCGGACTTCCCCCTCTTGACTCAAATAAGACCAATTTTGGATTTTCCCTCCCCTGTTGGCCAATCAGAGTCTGTTACCAGGCAGACCTTAGCTGCCGCCCGGGCGAGCCCGGCGCCTTCTGTCTCCGGGTGGCAGCAACGACCAATGACAGAGCAGGCCCTCCGAGTATCCGGGCAGATCGGGGCTGCTCCAGCCAGTCAGAAAAAAGAAAATAAAGCAACGCACGAGCCCGCCGGGCCAGGACCGTGGGGCTGGGCTGGAGTGAAGGTGGCTGCGAGGTAGTTTCTCTTTCTCCCTTACCTTTGTCGTGGCTCGTGCGGGAAGGCGGCTGTTCGAAGATGGGAGGGGGCCGTAGGAGCCGGGAGGAGAGGAGAGAAACCTCTCGGCTGCCTTTCCAACAGCGTCTTCCCCCGTGTGCACGTGCCCCGAATCTGGGACCGCATCTCCCCACCCGGGTTTCCTGCGCCCAGCCCGGGAGTTCCGCTACCCCGAACCCCCTACTCGGCAGCTACCCGGGGCTGGATGGCGGGGGAAGGGCAGCGGGCGGGGGCGCGCGTCGGGACGGGGTGCAGAGGGAGATGACGCAGGGCTGGCGGCTTGGGGAGGGGGAGCGGCGACGGGGTGAAGTGGTGAGAACTTGGGCCCGGTCCCCCCCCCCCCCCCCCCAGCCGGGACGGGCAGAATGCGTTCGTATCCTTTCCGACCTCCCGGGCGTCTAGTAGAGAATTAGATCTAACTTCGTCTGGCGGTGGTTGTTTTTGAGGGAGAAAAGGGCAGCATGAGGTCAGAGTCAGAAATGACAATTTCTTCCTCGCGTGGATTCCCGAGCCTCCAGTCTCTTCCTATATGGTTTTTCCACATATGGGAGGCTGCAAGGAGGTGGGGCAGGTAGGGTGGAGATGGCAGAGGTCTTTGGGGGTATATCTATATATCTATAGGCCTGGAGAAGTAATGGAGTAATTTCTAATTTTTGGAGAAGGCAAGTGGTGAGAAAGAAGAAACAAAAACACTGGAGAAATTCGGAGGCTTGCTCTCTGCTTCTCTTTCTGGGTGGAGAGATGAGGATGGGGGCGCGGGGTGTCTCCAGGGAAGGGACGTTGACTCGCCTGTCTTGGCCAGCTCCCGCCCTCATGCCAGGATGGCCGAAGACGAACCCGACACCAAGAGCCCGAAGCCCACGGGCCGGGCCCCCTCAGGCGGTGCCAGTGCCGAGGCGGGGGAGCCCACCACGCTTCTGCAGAAGCTCCGGGGTAACATCTCGTAAGTGCTTGTGGCCACCTCCAGGTCTTGCATAGCTCCCCAGTATAGATCCCCGAGCACCCCGCTTCCGCTGCAGATGAACTGCCTCTCCCTGAGCAAATGCATCTGACCAGGGGGAGCGTCTTGGCGGGTTGGCAGTTCTTGAGCACCTGGCAGACCTTGGCGTCCTCTTCCCCTCCCTAGCAGTCAGACACGGGATGGGGGACATCTCGTCTGACCCCCCCCTTCTTCCTCTTCTCCACAGGAAGGCCGTGCAGAACAAAGTAGAGGGAATCTTGGTAAGTATTTTGGGGGGAAAGGGCAATAGAGAGATTGAATTGGTGGGGGATGAGGTTGGTGAGGACATGAGCAAATTAAAGGTGTTTGTGGGAGAGACAGTGATGTCTACCCTGTCGGGTTCCTCAGAGCACAGCGGGCACCCAGCCTTAAATCATTCTCAGGACTTTTTTTCAGTCTGACAGCCTCTAAGTCAGCTAGACTTTTTGGTGAGGATCGGAGGGTCCTACCTTGGGTCCTTCTTGGCCTTATTATTTCTCTTGCCTCTGTTCTTCCTTCCCTCAGCAAGATGTACAG